ATTTTTTCCGTTTCAGGATTATATCAGTCAAGAGGGACTCAGTGAAACAGCTCGTAACTTACGTGATAAGATTACAAAGCTCAACGAACAGGTGGAGTACTGAAATGATTACTTTGTATTCTAAAAATATGGTTTCGCATATGCCAAAGTAACCAACAAACTTGTGTCGTTCAGGTCAGCTCGTGGCAGGAGGAGCTCGTTGCTTTGCCTGAGTTTGAGGAGGTGCCCGATCCTCTCTTGTTATCTCGAAGTGAGGCACGAGAAAGAGCCGATATCCAGAGACAGCGTGAAACGCTCGAACGGAAGATTGAAGAGAACAAGGATAAAGTGGAGGAGTTGCTTGGAAAGCTCACGGTACGGTAGCTCGCGTCACTGTTCGGCTTCACTGTTGCCGTGACGGCCATTTTGGTTCAGGTAGAAAAACTAGCAAAGGCTCAGTCTAAACGTCTATTGCCTATTGGTGAAGACCGTCATTTCCGCCGTTACTACTGGTTCCATGGAAAATCAGCTGATGATGGCATCTGGATCCAAGATGTAAGTTTCTCGTTGCAAATCAAGTGAACCTGCTCCATTTTTTTCAATTTGCAGATGGGTCTGACTTCGTACGAGAAATTCATCCGCGCATGCATCAAAGCAGGTAAGCCTTTTGAAGAGGAGGAAGATGAGGATGGAGTGGAAGAATCGAAGAACGAGGAATGCCAAGCTCAATCGACTTCGAACGGTAATCAAAATCCGGCCAGTACTCCATGCTCCGCAGCTGGTACTGGTCCGGATGTGAAGAAATCTCAGAGCAGTTGGCCGATCCTCGAACCGGAGAGGTACTTTAGCTTTACCTGAAGCAGTCTGATTTGCAAAATGCATACTTTAACCTTTTCAGCTATACCGAAACGTGGCATAGAGTAGCCGATGTGACGTCGTTTGACAGTTTGTTGGGTTCATTAATGAAAGCAGGAATTAGGGAGGGTAAATTGTTAATGGTAAGTCTGGATACATTGGCAGAGTTAAGGTTTCGGCTGATTCGTGCCAATTTAGTTCCTCAAAAAGAACAAGGAGGCGATACTCACCAGTATCACTGGAGGAAGTGCAAGACAAAGCAAGACGTAGGTTAAAACCTTTTTTGTATGGTAGTATTGTTTGACTTTTAGTTCAAGTTTAGTTTAATTCGGCTCAAGTTTAGTGTTAGTTCGATCTTTAAAGAGCTTCTGGTTTCCTTCGATACAGTTCTTTAGTTCTTCACTGTTGTCAAACCTTCAAAATATACAATTTATCTATACCACAATCACCAAGACGAGTTGCGAATGATCAGAAGTTACAGGCCTGATCCTGTGAAGATGAGGATCTGTCCGCAGAATCGTTGACTCCGCTTCGGAAGACTATCATTCAGCTAGCTTCCGATCTAAGAGACAGTTACTTCACCAGTATCGCGAAAATCGAAGACTTCGAAGCTGAAGTTCTTTGCTGTACAACGCTTGATGAAGTGGTTTGTAAACAATTTCTGTGCATCCTATTGGGCATGAGATCAACTAGCCTTCCTTCAGAAGAAAAAGCTGCGAGAACTCGCCGATAGCATTACACCGTCCGCTATTGTTCGACGGTTGGATTTCAAAATTGCTCAGCAAACTGGTAAGTTTTCGAGTTGCTAGCAGTAGTCTTGGAAGATATTGTTTAAGATGCTGAGGTAAGTTGCTTCGAGAGAAATCAAAAGGGGCAGCGACGAGTAAGGTGTGATGGTCCAGGAACCAGATCTTGGATCGTTTCTTACCTGAACCAACCAAATCTGTCATTAATTGGAATGGCTGATTCATAATAGATTTTATGTTAGGATGTAGGCACTTGTTTGAAAAATGCATCTAACCTCAACAGCTCATTGCATTGGAAAAGTACTCATCCATATGTTATTTTGAACGGAAGGCGTAGGCATGGCGCATCTTAGGGAGGACTGTCCAGTCAAAGTACGTTTTGCCTGAAAGTTCGATAGAAATCATCATATGGGGCTGGCATTTGCCGTAAACTGTGGCATTTAGTATTAGTTTTGGGCCTTTTTGAATTGCTGGCACTGGTATAAACTATCCATTTAGCGAAATTGTTCGTTTTTTTTTACATTGAATGTTAGTCTGTTGAAAACTAGATATTTTTTATTCTCATGAGTTCGCAATGAGGTTACTTTTGTTCAGGACAGCACTCTTGCTTGATAATGGATCGGTGGAAACAACGATTGGCAGAATGTCACAATGTTTCTGGTGTACATCTTCTTCGAAGTTACCTCGACGCCCGTATTGACTGGAAGAAGAGTGTCGTTGAAAAGGTGTGGCGTTTTTATTACGAGTTTCATTTCAAAAGAATCTCAGTTTTTTTTGTATTTCTCAAAGAATTGATATGAAGACGCCGAAGTAACTGATAGAGCTGTGTCCAAAGTGGTGGTGACCTGTCTCCACAGAATTGTGCACACATACGGTGCTTTTTACCTAAAGGGGCTTCGAAGAAGAAGAAAAGGCAATTGTTTTGTACCTTGAGTATAATTTCATAGGCCATTTGCGACCTCATTTGTCTTTACCGTTCTATAGGAGGTCCTTTGCTTGGGGTTCTCTGGGATGGGCTGATTAACTAATGTGTAGCTCACTGTTTTCTTGCATTTTTAGCGGTGCAACTCGTGCGGTAGCAGGCGAAGTCCTGAAGCCAAAATTGCATGCTCGAATTGTGCTGTTGTCGTTCACTTCTACTGTACTCGACCTCGGCTTCAAGAGAAGCCCACATTGTGAGTCACTCAGTCACTAATTGTATTTCTATTGTGTTTGTGTTGGTAATGGTCATGAGAGGTCCTCGAATTAACTTTTAGCTGGCTGTGCCCAATATGTGAAAGGGCTGAAATGAAAAAGAAAAAGGAAGAAACTAGTGCGCAGCGTTCGGGCAGGATATCTTATAAAGAAACTGATGCTGGAAATTCAAGCGGTGATGAGTCGGGTGAAGATGAAAGTGATGAGTCAGAAAGTGACGAGGACGACTTTTTCGCGAATAAGGTATGGGCTGGTAATTTACATATTTGTTATTCTTCGCACTACATAGATTTTTTTGTAGCAGCCTCTCGAGCACTACATAGATTTTTTGTAGTAACCTCGTAGAAGTACACGGAAGCGTGTCATGGAAGAGTACTTTGAAGACGATGTGGAGGATAAGAGATCACGAGCGAAGCGTTCGAAGGTCAATCCCGTTGCTGAGGTGGGTTACAATTGAATGCCAAAAAAACGTTAACGTACTTCGCCAAAAATGCTACGATAAATGCAATGTTTTGGCAAGCATGGTCGCGGTTTTGTGCTTACTAAGGCATGTGGTATTCCTTCGCGACGAGATGAAGGAAACGAGAGAAAGAGTTAGGTGTGGGATTAGTTTATCGGGCACAGTGTTGATCTCTAATGCTCAACGGTCGACGGACTACTTGAACCCCAGCCCTTTAAACCGCCTCTGCCGCCTCTCTCGCCGGGTCCCTAGGCTTGTGTCTATGCCATCTCACCCTTGTTTCTCTGATCGTCTGTGGCTCTAGCCATCGCGGGCACAGGCCACTTGAGGAAAAATTTATTGGTGGTCCGTAAACTAATGGCTCAACATTGATAGAAAGCGGAAACATTGGAAAAAATTCGTGGAGTGGAGTATTTTCGACGCAATGCATTGCGAGAAAATTCGCAATTTGGTCCACCAATCACCCAAGGGAAGCCAAACAACCCTCATACTACGCTCGAGTCTATGAAGGTATGCTCAACATTGATAGAGCCGCGGAAACATTGGAAAAAAATTTGGTCAGTGGGTATTTCGACGCAATGCATTGCGTAGAAAATTCGCGAAGGGTCCACCAATCACCCAAGGGAAGCCAAACAACCCTCATGCTGCGCTCGAGTCTATTAATGTCAAAGTACCTTTCATGTTAGAGGGCCGGAAATTTGTGAGAATTTCGCGCCTTCTGGAAGGGCGTATCATCGGTTTCATTAATGCTCGAGAGCGAAGTCAAATTGGTGGGAAAATTGGCCTGCAGTAAGTTTTTCCTCCAATATAGATATTTTATGGTGTGGCATTTCTCGGTATCAGATGTTTCTCGAAATTGTATTTTCACCTACATAGACGTAGGTAGTCGCGAAAATAATGGTATAGCATTAGTTTTTCTCTCAAGACTTACGACTACTCGGAGAAGGAACTCCGATAATATTTGTATTCTTTAAATTTTTGCAGGAATGTGTCGATTTACTGGGTCGTGTGAAAGCGTATAAATCGTTCTATCGGACACTTGCAAACACATTTCCGGCCCGCTCGTCTAGTAGAGCGAGCGCCTGCTCCATCCATCGATGCTTGAAGGTCATACCGGAGGTAAAAATAATAGATATTAGGCTTTATTTTGATTAAGCAAACGATTAAAACATCCACCAAACTTTGCTTTGTTACAGTACACATCGCTGAGTACATTCGCTGCAGATTTGAATACTTTTTTCAAACATGCCCGTTCATATTTGGAGGTGAGTCTCTGTTTTATAATCTGTTGTTCTTGCGTATGTGTATGCTATACGAAGTTATTTATTAAGGACCATAACGACGCTAAACTGAGAGAATTGGAAACGCTACTTTTTGAGTTGGATCTTAATTCGTTGACTAAATCTCGTTAACCATTCTTAAAAGGTTTTTTTTATCTTGATTTATTGTCGTAGTGGTGTTTGTATTTCTAACTTTAGAGTTATGCAAATTATATAGCTGTTCAGCTTCAACAGTTGTAGTTTAGTTATATAAATAGCACTCGCATTATTTACAATTGTGTTTGTTTGTTTTTTGTCATATTGGGCATCATTATGTATACATTTCCATGATATTTATCAAATTTATCGGTTCTAGTACTTTCACTGATCTTCACTCTCCCTCGGTCACTCAGTATCTCACCTCAACAACCTCGTACCTCACACACTCTCCTTCTCATAACTATTAGATTTTTAGCATGTCATATTTGCACTGCGAGGTTTTTTTTGTGAACAGAATTCTTCTGTTATAGTGGTATTGTCGTAAAAATGTGTTGCACTCGAGTTTACCTGATTTTCTCGATTTCCTTGCTATGTGTTTAGGGCAGACCTCGTGCTGGAACTATATACCAGTAAATAATGTAAGCAGTACAAGATAGTGGCCAGGGCGAATTCTGCCAGTAAGCCATCTTGGCAATAATTATGTGCGTAATCTGATTTGTATAACCGTATTTATTATTTCTGTCGTGAGTTTAGCCAGGTGAATACCAGAGCAGGAAACAGTAACTGGGCATTTCAAATGCTGCTTCTAGAACAGGATATTTGTACCTGTGGTAGAGTTTCTGATGGTTAATGTAAGGTTGCAAGTCAAAGCAGACGTCATCAAAGTGGTAGTAACCTATTTAAGCGAGGAGGCTTTAGTCTTCATACTCGTTTTGCATGTATAAGTTTTCCTTTTTTGATTCCACAACTGTATAGATAACCTTGAACTTGTATTGCTACTCTTTTTGGTGAGTGATAAACGTCGATTTGAAGCTTGACTGTTATTGAGTCCGTGTACTGAAGGATAACCTGTTTGGTATTATCTTACCATTTTTCTGCGTTCGTATAGTAGTAAACTTCTTTTATTTTACAGTAATACCTGATCCAAGATGTCCGCCCCCGCAACTGGAGCGACCGACACTGATCTGAAGACATTCCGCGATTTCCTTATGCAATACAACAATGTGACGGAACAGTGTTTTGGTGCTTGTGTGAATGATCTGACGACAAGGACTGTCAGTGAGAAAGAGGAGAAGTGCAGTACAAATTGCCTGGACAAGTACTTGAAGATGACTCAACGGGTATCGCTACGTTTTCCAAGAGCATCAATTACTGTCTGCGGATGTTCAAGGTGCTCCCTTGTCTCGAACTTAGGTGGCTGTTCTCATGGAGTTTGTTGTTGCACTGTTACGCAAAAGTGGACGTTTTTCATTGATGAATGTAAACGCTTAGATATAATCGTTTGTACATTATACGAAGTTATACGATGTTTGAACGCTTTTGGTCTTTCCAAAATCGAATATGATGGATTACATATGAAAATGTTCGTCTTATTGACGGTAGCAACGTGATACCTCCAGGGTGAAATGGTGAAAATTTTATGATGTACGTCACGGGAATGCAATTGTGCAGGTTTAGGGCTGTCTATGTAACCTCCTCTTTTGCACAACGAATTGCATTGAAGATCGAATTTGAGGTGAAGCTACTCAAAGTGGAATGCATGGTCGCTATAACACATGCCTACACCTTGTCGTGGTGAACTGCCTTTGAGCGGGAGCATGGTGGGCTTGTCATAAAGACACTGATCACGATGCTGAAGTGTGTCGCGATTAAGTCATTGATCCACATTGGTGCATTGACCACTCAGTTCGCCGCTGGGTGTGGTTGCGCCCGTTTCCTGCCCTTCCACCGAGTGACGTCATCGAACCGGCGAACGTCCTCCGTCATTGTAACTCTGTATGGTTGGGAATCGCCTATTGTCCCGCCAACAAAGCGACCATCTCACGGCTTTCCACGTTGGGAGTCAATGTAAAGCCGTCAATCTTCGATGCCTAGACGACTCCAAAAACTTATAGACAGAGGTTTGTGACGAAATTACAACCAATATCTCGAGAGTTGATTGGCATGGCCAGCAAAATGAGCGTGTCTGCCGCTGCACTTGAATAGATTCAGATTAATTAAGATACTCCGCCAGATATCACCAAAGCAATGCTGTATTGCAGTTTACTGCGACATATATCGTATATTCGGTGGCTGCGCGCATCATTTTCGGTACATGCCAATCATACTTCGATCATATGGATGTAAACCGTTGTGACCTCAATGCCCTCGTCTGCTTCACAACGATAAAAGCCAAAGCATAGGGTGAACATAATTGGATGTGTAGTATACAAGGAATCTAATTAGGGGATTGCCTTCAGCCGGATGTTGTGTAAGTAGTCTTCGTTTCCATTCGAAGACCATCTCCTAGGCTCAGTCCGCATAACGATGCCTCCCTCTCTGAGAATAAGTACCCTGGTGCCTAGGAAATGCAGTGCTGCTTTCTAGCATTCAGCCAACTGATATACGAGCGGTACAAAATGTTAGCGAGAAAGTAGTGTAGTGCGACGACGATCTATAACTAGCGCATGAGGAGTCAGGCTCAGAATTCTCGCCCAGCCTGACCAATTGACTCCTTCGAGGCTCGGTTAGGTGCTATCAGACTTATCTGAGGGGCAAAAGACAGACTTTCACATTGATCACCCCACCTATCATTGTGTAGGCCATTCAAGCTGTCCTTCGAATCGGAATGAATGGAATTAGAGTGCGTGGCTCATCCAAGAAGAGACTGATCATCGCTAAATTTCATATCATTTATCTATAGAGGGCATTCGTAATCTACAGAAACCTTTCGGAGCCGGTAAAAAAAAAGAACATATCCACTCCCCACAGGCTATCGCGCGTCGGCGGCATGGTAACTTGAAAACATCCGTAATTTGTTTTCCTTTCTCCATTCAACGCTTGTCACATTCAATTACGTGTCTTGCGAATAAGCAATAGAAAATTGATGGGAAAACCTCATTTTCAACCAAATTTCATGCAATATTGCGCAGTGCTTCTATCTTGTTCATTTCGTAAAGTTTTCGTGTTTTCCTCATATTCTGTCTTTAATTCAAGTTTTTCGTTATTCTCATGCAATCATCACCGCTTTGGTGTTTGCCGAATTTCTCTCCCGACATCGCCACCACAGACGGTCGCTCACAAAAATGCGTAGTTTCTATCTTCACTCATATTTTAGTTATTGCATAGAACATATCACAAGAACGATCTAAAAAACGACAAGGACAAGTTTTAGGCCGATGTCAGACTTTGCGAATCGCGCGATTCGCTAGCGTCTGCGGTCGCGTCGCGGCCAGTGAATCACTCAATTGGCTGGTACCGCAACGCGACCGCGGACGCTAGCGAATCGCGCGAATCGCTAGTAGCGAATCGCGCGATTCGCAAAGTCTGACATCGGCCTTATAGCGCGCAAAAGAAGCTTGAAGGCAGCGGTTGCGATAGATTCTAAGGGTTCACAGGTAGGTTAACGTGCTCCAATGGTAACATTATTCTGGTGCAAAAAGCCCAGAGAATCCGTCACGAAAACCGACAAAACGGAAACGTTGTTTAGCTGCGATTACGGCCAGACCGGTAGCGCTTAAACTGCGGGCCTGTCATGAACGAATTTTATTCACAACGCGTTCTGGTGCACCATGTCCATCCATTGCTCAATCTGAGTTGTGCCGGCCGCAAAACAACAGCTCGTCAAATTACGCAGTTAAACTATGGCGTCCTTTTGAGGGCGAGTCTTTGAAGTCCTCTCAGCAACGCAGCGCACCTTTCGTGTTAAGCGCCACACCTCCCTCTTAACAGCCATGTAATGCTTGTCGCATAACCCCGAAGCACTCCCTCTTCATCGTAATCGCTTCCGTTAATCACTCGTTAACGCTTTTTGAAATAACTTGCATGGGAGTGACACGATATTCTATAATGTATATTCGGCAGAGTTGGAAATTGCTCGCATTCCACGCTGAAGAACTCTGATTTTGAGTGATTGTTCGACCTGTCGTCAAAATGCACAGCCATAGGGCACAATCAATTAGCCGCGCTAAAATCGTAACTACAGCATGCCAGTTTTAAGTCGCCTGATACTCTCGGGACTGCCTGACGCCTACTTAGGACACCGCAATGAATGACGCGGCTAGCAAAACTAAACGTGGTGCAAGTCCCGATTTTTTTTATCGGCGAACTCGCGCTAACTCTGGTGCTGTTTTCTTCGTCCGATAGACCCGCGATGTTTGCAAGCGAGTAAGGGGGAAAAGGGCGCCACGGGTCCGCGGGCAGAAACACTCGATAACTTAGGATCTGTGTCACAAATAGTTAGCATATCTGAAACGGAAATGCTTTGAACAAAATCGGAAGTGTAGTTATTTATCAAACTTTTAGTGCCATCTCCAGACTCGATGGGGAGGTCCGTTAGACCCTTCGTTTCTCCATTATGTGAAAAACTGCCGCCGGCCAACTTCTTTGTCATGTTCACCAGCCAGTGATTTATTTTGGCTTTGTGGAGTCAGATAAGCGAGATATCGCTGCGAAATTTGTCTCGCCTGTAATGTCATGATTGAGACGTTCTCCGATCATCCACTTTAGACTACCAGCTCCGTTACTGCTCGGCAATGTGCTCCATCACTTTCCCCGATCTATCAAAGGGAAGGCCGTGTTTATCAGAAACACCCGTTTCCCGGCCCCTTGCCCACTATATTTTACGGTCAGAAACATACATCGACCAATAAAAGTCAAAGTTTAGTATGCGTAACCCATGAGCATGTCCATTATGTGCCAATTATCTCACCACGATCCCTCTGCACGAGGGAAAGCTCAAGGTACCCGTTACTTTGCAAATTTTAAGGAATTCTTTTGAGAAGACAACCAGGTCCCCTCAGAAAGTCCTCTCATTTCACGGGTCGGCTGATCGAATTGAGGTGTCATTATGCTTTAAAAAAATGGCCAAAAAGATTTGCGACATGAACGTTGTTGCGAAAAGTTCAAAAGGCACTATACAATCGCTGAGAGCATCCTTGCGAGGTCGACTGTGG